CCCCCCCTCACTGACAAAGCTCCACGGACCCACGTGCCGTAACGGCAGCTGGAGAAGAGGCCTGACAGTCACCAGTCCGAACGGTGCTGCGAAGAGGGTGTGTCACCTCGTGTTTGTCCCCTAGCCTAGCTGGGACCCTCCTGTGACCACCAAGTCCAGAATCAGTTTGTGAAAGTGCTGAAGCTCAGAACATCCCCCCTGTAATGGCATCATTCCTCCCCCTTGCTCCCGCCACTCGACAAATATGTAGCGTGAGTAAAATGTGTCCTCAGACCCAAATAAGCCGTAATTAAAACACGTGTCGTACCTGCAATAGAGCAGAAAAGCAGCTTTGAGCAACCTGGCTTTATCTTCCTGGGCTACGGTCTCATTCTTCACAGAGGTCTCGAAAACCACACTCTGGAAAATAACAGACTGCAACTTAGAGGGGAAGGTGTCAGGATGGTCTCAATTACTGCACTAAAAACCGGACCCACCCGTGGCGGCAGCGGCACAGGCTCCCAAGCTGCCTCCCGCAAGCTACAGTTGACGCACGTAAAACGTTTACTAAAACCAGAGATGACGCACCCACTGGTCAAGTGGAGTCCTACAGAAAAGGCACATGCAGCTGAGTGACAGAGCGACATTGAGAGTGGCAGTGAGAGTGGCATCGTGGGGATTTCGTCGGCGCCGACAAAACCTTCCACAGCCGGCCCTCACGCTACCTGTCACCACATGTGTCACTGAGCGCAATGGCTGACCAAGCTTACACAAGGAGTCGGAATCACTTTAAAGACATGGAGCAGAATGTCAGCCATATCACAAAATCCACATGGTCACAAAAATATTTAAAAAAATTGTTCCTTTTTGTTGAAACTACGAAATTGTTTTAATTTTGAATTAGAGAAATCGTTTCTATATTTCATATACCAAACGGAAATTATCCCAAACAGTATTATTTTTAGTCTTCTGTAAAAGAATGATAAAAAGTCTTATGGATCAGAGGTTCAGGGTTTCGAGATGACAGAAAAAAAAAAACCTGCTGGTTTTTACCCCACTCTCCCTCTCAAAAATCATCCCAGAGTAGCAGGAAGAAAAATACAACCATGCGAACATCTGTGATTCTAACCCCCACACGTGAGGATGGGGACCAGGAGGAGGAGCAGCAGAGGGCAGACCAGAGACTTGTGTCTGTGGTGGAGGGCCAGGTCCTGACCGGGCCCTGCGGCCCATGGAAAGCAGAGTCCCCAGAGGCCTAAGGGGAAGGCGTCTCCAGAGCTGCTGGAGGGGCAGGACACAGGAGACGTACACATGAAACTGCTTGCTACATGCTCCGAGGGCCACCTTAAGGTGACTCATACGCAACTCTTGGTGAGCTGGAAACAGTATCCATGTTGTTGCTATGACCAAAAAAAATTTATGTCGGGAGGATGAAGGCAGAGAAAGGCACATAAGTCACCCTAACTCCTCAGCTTCTATAAAAGG